ATAATAATAATAATAATAATAATAATGTTTTCCTCAGCATCTCTTAAACTGAAAAAAATGACCCAAAAGTAACAAATGAGGACAGGAACATCCTCACAACACTGAATGGTGTTTTCCTACAGATCCAGCCCCCTCGCAGCCTGGCACGTGTCCCTTGTACAGAGGACACATGGACCATGTACTCCCTCCCAGCATCTCACGACCACATCCCACCATCCCCAGTCGTCCCGCACTGTCTGGAAAAGGCTGGAAAACCCGGTGCAGTTTAATGTTGAACACACAAAGCTCTTAGCACTGGGGAGGGACAGGTCACCCCCCACTCCAACCACAACCGTGGTGGCTCTGACACTCACATCACCCAGTGGAGACCTCTGGCCAGCAGCTCCCGGCAGCGCCGCAGGGCTCGGGCGATGCGCAGGGTCTGGTGCCCGGCACCCACCGCGCTCTGCAAGGCAAAGGGCATTGCCAGTGGCTGCATCACCACAGCCGGGGCTCCCCAGGGCTGGGGGAGCACCCCAACCTACCTTGGCTGCGCTGCAGTCGGCCACCACGTCCACCTTGGGGACAAACTTTGGGAACTCAAGTGCTGCTGGAAAGACAGACAGTGGTCATGGTGCTTTGGGGAGCCAGCCTGGAGCCCCTGAGCTGTGGCTGCAGACCCATAGGGGTGCCTCTAAGCAAACCCTGCAGCTACCCAGGATCAGCTGTGATGCTGGAGGCTTAGCCCAGCCCTCCAAGATATTTTGGAAACATGGACTAAGGCACAAACCACCTGAAGAGCCCGCGGAGCAACAGCACAGGGCAGCTGAAAACGGACCCTGAAACCTCCTAATCCAGCTCCAGCATCACAACCCCTCCACCTCCTGCTCTGCACTGGAGTCTGGTAGGATCATAATTTAAGCAAGTCTCTCTCACGGCACCCACCCTGCGTGCTGTGGTGCATCTCCAAGCCAACAGTACTCACGATCTCTGTATCTCACTCCTACCACCTCCTCGGGTTGCTCATCGGTGCTCAGCAAGGTCAGAGGGTTGTGCTCTGTGGTGTTGCAGAAGTTATGAGCTTGCAGATTAGGATCCAACTCATACAGATGACCTTCAAAAAAATATTCTTGATGGTGAGGGACTATGTTTGTTTGTTTGAAGACAGCATCTAAAAACTTGGTGGTACTGAAATGAAAAAGGAACGAAAGGATGAGGGATAAGCAATGAGGTGAGCACTCAGATTTCCATCGCTTTACCCTCCTGCCACCCTCTTCTTGTAGCAAAACACCCCAGAGGGTGAGCAGGGCCCCTTGGACAACCTCCCTGGGGTTCTCCTTGTGCCATGGCAGGAGCTGACAGCTCTTGGTTAGTGGACTCCTCAGCAAAGGCTGGTTTGAACCTGGTTTGTTTTAACCCGGTTTAACTGCAGTGCCCAGGGGACGGGCACTCCTCCCAGGTTCATCTGCCAAAATAAGGGGCTGAAGCTCCTGAGCTCAATTCCCAAATTCACTTTTAATGTGGCCTTGACATCCTTACGTGTTGTAGGAGTGGATGTAGATGCGATGCAGGGACGCTTGCTGCAAGGAGAAGACGTTGACCACCATCCTGTGCAAAATGTCACTGGTTTCTGCAAAAAACTGGTCGAATCCCCAGCATTTCTCCTGATCCACCTCCAGGATGTTAGCCAAAATGGGGATCAGCTGGTCCTTCAGCCCCCTGAAACAGCAGCACCAGAGATGTTTGTACAGACTGACATAACCCTGAGCCACGAACACGGGGACCCGTGGGGAGGGGAGAGGTGCAGCCCCTCTTCTGCCGCTGAGCTCCGTCCAACACAGGCACTGCCCTGTCCTGCACCCCCTTTTCCTGGCTGTAAAGCAAAAACCTGGACCAAGAGTTGTGACATCTGCAGATGACAAAACCTCGTCTGCCTCATTAAAACCTCCTGCACCCTCTGAGGTGGGATGACCTCTCCACCCAGCTGTGGTGTGAGGACAGGAGACAGCCCAGCCCAGCAAGGGACACTCACGTGGAGAGCTGACAGGTGAGGGGCAGCTCGTAGCTCCACTCAATGCTCCCGTTCTCCTGCCTCTGGATCCCTGCGATGGCTCCAGGAGGCTTCTCAGTGGTGATTTTATACCTGTGGAAAGGAAATCGCTTGCAGGTGAAGTGAGCTGAGTGACCTCTGTGGGCACTACGTCCCTCAGGTCCTGTGAAGAGGGGAAGGGCAGAGCATGGGAGGGCTGGGAATGACACTGGTCATAGAAAGAAAAAAAAATGCACAGGGGGAAAATACTTCAAGAAACAGACAAAACCTCTCAAGCAGACATTAACCCTGCCTCCTCCTCCAGCTGTTTAGCCACAAAGTCATGAGGATGCATTTTGAGGGCAAATGTGGTAAATGGGGCACAGATCCTGGGTGACACCCTCCATGCTGCAGAGTGTGGGATCAGCCACGGGCTGTTTCAGGGTGTCTGGGCTCTATGGGATTAAACAAGCAGCAAACTACAGCCCATAATCCCACACCAAGCCCCAGCCAGGCAGCCCCCAGGGCCACCAGCCATCACCCCCACACAGCAGCTCCCAGATGGACACGGTACCTACATGATCTCCTTGTTCCTACGAGGTCCCCCGAAGGGGATGAAGGGGAGGCTGCCGGTGGCAGCGTGGTAGAAGGTGACACCGATGCTCCAGAGATCGACGGTGACACCGTAAGCCTTCTGCTGCGGCTTGCGCAGGACCGCTCGCTCGTACATGTCCGGGTGCTGTGGGGATGAAGCAGAGTTTGCAGGTGGCATCAAGCCTTGTGTGCTGGGTTTGAGAGCTGCCTGCTCGCTTTTGGCCTCTTCTACTGCTGGGTTCTCCAAACAAAAATGTCACCTGTGACTCTATGACAAAATTGCTGAGCACTCCCCTCTTCAAAAAACATGTGGCCCCTGTGACATGGGGCTCTCTGAGTCACGGCTGCTCTCTAGTTGTCCAGCTGTTGGATGGAAGGATGGGGACCAGCTTCCCCCAGGACCAGCCACCAGACTGGTGACACATCATACTCACAAGATATTCCTCCGTCCCATAGACAGACACAAACTTTTCATCATCATCCAGTTCTCGGGCGGCCCCAAAATCTGTCAGCTTATAGATGCTCTGCCCATCTTCCCCCACCAGCCGCATGATGTTCCCGGGTTTGATGTCTCTGTGGACGACACCGTTCTCACGGAGGTGGTTCATCCCTGCCACTGGGCACAAGGTGAGGAGATGGGTTTGTGAGCGGGGCTGGAGCACTTTTCCCCCTTTGGTTTAAATGTAGGAGCATGAGAAGGCTCCTCAAATTGCACCAAAGCAGGTACAGGTTGGATATCAGGAAAAATTTATTCACTGAAAGGGTTCTCAGGCACTGGAACAGGCTGCCCAGGGAGGTGGTTGAGTCACCATCCCTGGAGGGATTTAAAAGACGGGTAGATGAGGTGCTCAGAGATGGTTTAGTAGGGGACAGGTACAGTTGGACTTGGTGATCTCAAAGGCCTTTTCCAACCAAACTATCCTATGTTTCTAAGGGCAGAAGAGGGGACAAGCCCCAGGGCTGGTTGCACAAAATAGGGAGCATCATGATGGGGAGATGGAGAGGAGGAGTGAGCACACGGCAGGGCACTGTCCTTGTGCTCCCCCATCATGGGACACGGACAGTTCCCACAGCTGCATCCTGGAGCATCTCTGCAAAGAGAAACCCTCAGGCTTCCCCTGAAAGCAAAGCTCACAACCCCCCTGTTCTGAGGTGCTATTTCGGACCCCTCAGCCTGGCCCTCATATCCGTAGCCCAGAGCTGGTGCCCCCAGGGTCCCACCAGCACCGCAAGGTCCCCGTCCCGCAGCCCCTCATTCCCGGGCTGTGCTGGTGATGGCAGGGAGGTGGCCGTGCCGGTGCCGCAGGGACCCCGCACTCACCCACGCACTGCAGCACGATGAGGAACTCGGACTCGGCCAAGCCAAAGGCATTTGCTGGGTCTTCCAGCACGTTCAGCAAGCTGCCACTCGAGCAGTACTCCATCACCAGCACCTTCTGCTTGCTGCTGCCCTGCGGTGAGGAGCAGCCGTGAGGGATCGGTCGCTCACAAAGTGCTCAGTGTCACTGCCCAGCCCCATGTCCCAGCCAGTGGCCTGTTCCCTCCCAGCAGGACCAGGTCCCCTCCCTTGTTTGCTGGGTCCTTGGGTTTCACCTACTTGGATAAATCAGTCTTGGAGAATATCCTGGCTATGCCATGCACTTGGCCAGGGGACAAGAGCAGGTCACATCCATGCTCCATCCCAGTGACCTGGTGCCACCAGTGCAGAAGGGCTGGGCTGAGGCTTGATGTGGAGCTGGAGGTGGGAGGAGAAGGCAGCCCAGGACCACCGCTCCCCTCCTGTGGCTCAGACCAGTTCCCCCATGTTACTGGCCCAGTCACATGGTGGGTTTCCAACCTGGTGTCCCACTTACCGTCTCCTCCACAGCAAATAATTTGACAATGTTTTTATGGTTCAGCTTCCTCAGCATCTCAAACTCTCTCATCTGGACCTCCTGGGGCCGGAGGTAGCTGGCGTTATTGAAAACCTTCACAGGAACCAGCTCCCCTGATTTCTGGGAAAAGAGGGAAAAGAGAAAAAGGAAACGGGAGGTGACACCACCCGTGTCTTAAGCAGCTCCATCAGCTCCGTTACTGCTCCCACATCCCACTCGGATGCAAACACACTGACGGGATAACGCGATTTCTGAGCAGGTGTCCCACAGCTTTTGTTCTCTCGGCTGTGAAGCAAACCACGGTTATTCATCTCCCTTCACTTCCTGTCCCTGAAGCCCACGTGCTACACGGCAGCGTGTTTATTCAGCTTCATAAAGAGTTCATGGCTGGAGCTGAGGCTGCTGCTCCCCTCCTGCTCTCTGCGGGACGGGGCTGATTTCAAACCATCCTCCGAGCCGCCTCTCCCGCCCTGAGCCACACAGGCAGCAGCTCAATGATCTTCAAAGGCTGGCGAGGTGGAGAGGCTCGATTCCAACCCTGGCAAGTGTTTGCATGAAATATGCAAATCGCCAAGGACGGGGTTTTCAAAACCTCTGGGCATTCCCCCAAAAACAGCTTCTTCCCCCCCACGATGCACGGGAGTGTCCGCAGCCAGGGAGCAGGACCCGTGGAGCTGCTCTCGACCCGTGGAGCTGAGCTGGTGTCTGGGGTGAAGGAGCCAAATGAAAAATGAAAATAAAACCCAAAGCAGCTTCCAGCACTGCTGGCACCCAGGGGAGGACAAGCCAAGGGGAGGATGGGCATCCCCACACCATGGGGTGGGAGGGCTGAGGGGCTCTGGGGTGGGTGCCCCCCTCACTGCCCCGCTCACCTTGTTGCGAGCTTTGTAGACACAGGCCGTGGCACCCTGGCCCAGGAGATCCTCGGTGCTCCAGAGGTAGTTTGGGGTGCTCTGCATCTCCAGCAGTGCCGCTGCAGTGGGGAAACACAAGGGTCACCCTGGCTGGCCTCTGCCAGCCCCACCACCAGACCCTGGTGTCCATCCATCCTCACTTGGCCACGCCGGGGAGAGGAGCAGGACATCCCCCTGGGCAGGCAGCCACCACCCTCCTACCTCGCGAGCGCCGAGCGGGCAGCA